CTCGTCAAAGAGACAAGTGAAGTCAATCCCTTGGCCAGCATTCTGCCTAAACGGTTACACTCTCATTCCGTTTTTTATCCTGGCCCATCTCTCAACTCCTACCCTCTTACACAAATCCCGCCCTGGCCCAAATTCTAAATCATTTTCATTTCATTCGTCAATAATGTGTGCTCTTTTTGTCAAATTTAGTGTGGCCTCATCACATCTACTATTCTTCCTGACCCCCTCTATTTCGATCGGCTAATCCGACTTGAGCCTCCTACCTGGATCTCCCTCATGGTCCCGCAGATCCATTTACTATCTTTCTGGTTGACCGATTTCGCTCGGATCCAGTTCCTGTGTGAGTTTTACTCCAGGCGCTATTTCTCAAGGCCGCCTCACCGAGTAGAGCGCATAGGCTTTGATTGCCATTATTGCAGATCTCAGGAATTCCCTTCACGGGTCGTCTCTTTGACTAAACCTGTATTACATGAGCAAACTGTGAAAGCCTTTCTCTGGTCGCATGCGTCATCTCAAGTGGATTTATAGTACTTTTTTTCACACAGTTGAATTTCTTTGACGGTTTGCATAACCTTTCTTCCTACTTACCTGACTGCCAGGATCCCAAATTTGTACTGGTTTATTCGATGGGACATCACCCACTGACAACGTCTTCGCTTGATTGCCGAAAATCCCCACTCCCTTTTTCTCATCGCAATGGATCCCTGATCCATGCGTCTCATTTTTGTCGGTCTTGCCGTATTCTTGTTTTTTCCGAGTGAGTCTGTTCGAATAAACCCGTACAACTTTTGAGCCTGGTAGTCAGGGGGCTAGGTAGACGAATAAGTAAACCGTCATGGAAATTCGACGTTGTGGCCAAAACGTACTAGGAATTAACTTAAGATGCCGCATGCGGACAAAGATAGGCGCCTACAGTTTACATAAGTAACACGGGTCAGTGATACCATCAGCAGGTAGGGATGTGGAAACGATGCACTTCTGCAAGGAGAAATAATAAACCAGATCACGATGGTTTTCACGTTATTCTTACATGAATTCCCAAATAAAATACTTCGTAATATTAGGCATTCTATATAGGCACAAGGTTCCATCGACTGATGAATTTCTGAAACAGGATAAAACAGATCCGAACTTTTACAAATCCATACGAAATTTGATTTTGAAAACACTTAATTTAATATTAGCAATTGGGGGAAGGAATCTGAGACTATGGACTGGCGAATGGTGGGTCCTTTTCAGCCATTTTAATGAACTCATAGGTACTCCAACAACCTTGATATGTCGGCATTATTTTGTACAATTCATTACTTATATTATTATAGGATAAGATTGCTCCTTTAAAAAGTATCTAAAGAAAATATTCACAATGCTGATTTAATTATATATGTGTGGGGTGTGTTGCGTGCGACTGACATGACATCTAAGTTGCCTTCTCAATATTGTTCATAAGGGACTCGAAATATTGATATTTGTCTCGGTTTCTGATCTAGAACTTTTACTTCATCCAAATATTAGGTGTGGGTTTTCTACATCGCTGTCGTTTATAGCCGTAAAATGGAAGTTAAATGTTTTAAATTCACTTTTTTGTCCTTAATTATGCATTTTCTGTTTTGCAGGAAGTTTTATCTAATCTGTTTTCTAGTACACGGAAGTGGAGGCGACAAAACCAGCAGAAGCAGAACTTGTAAACAAATATAACCTCCTTATTGTTGAGTTACATCAGTCATATCCGTTACAGCGAAACTGTAGGCTGATCTCGTCATCAAGTAAACATTTGAGACCACATGATAAATTGCAGGTTTATAGCTTGATAATGTTTTATTTGATGCTTTGTGCTGGTTTATTCACGAACCGATCAGTTAGCTGTCCATCGATCCATTTTTCTCATTTTATCTACTAACAGTCTGTATAAAAAGCCAGCTAACCCCACTAGTCTTTCAATGCCATGATATGTAGGCCAATGAGCTAGGTTATTGGCCAACATGACATTTTAGCTGTGTTTATAGGATCAGGCCCAGGGGCGTGTTGCTTCGTTTTATATGTGGCTTTATATAAATGAATTAACCAATTCGGACTTTATTAGAACCGGTTCCCTCTATGCTGACAAAGTTTGGCTGTGGCACCCTTTATTGTAACTTTCGTTCTTCTCACAGGATGCAGATGAAGTTCCAGCCTGTCCTTGCACTTCTGGTTGTCTGGGTAGCCTTTACAGTGGCTGAATACCGCCTTGAGCCAAGACCGTATGATATTCTACTAGCTCATCTACCTAAGTCTATAACAGATTCCATCTATGCGAAACGGGTGCCGGCACGAGAAGAACCCGAGAAGGAATCCGTGAGGCCAATTTCTTCCGACAACGAAGCTCGGATTAAGCCCCTTTATGGGGCTCTGACACACGAGATAATCAACTACGTGAACTCGGTAAGCAAAATATGCATAAAACAACAATCTGTAGCTTTAAGTATTGCATTAAAGATGCACTTTTCTTATATTCGGACTAAACTAGGCGTTTCCAAGTAATTTTTTTTTTGATACTAGTTCCAAGATTGATGGCTCAGACTAACTCGTAAAGAATAGTAAAAGTGTAGTTCTGCCTGGCAGGCTGACTCTAATGTTGCGTTGACCAAAATAAACTAAGTAGTGTTTTATTTTTTCCCTCTCAAAATACATTTAGAATAGGCTGTCCAAATCATAATAGCATGTACAAGTATGAAAGCATATTGAAGCTAAGTGTCTCGAAGTTTAAATCAAAAAGTTAACAGCGATGACAATACATAAAGGTTTTCTCATCTGGTGGTCAATTTTTGTACTATACTCAAAAATATATCAAGAAAGAAATGGAAACATACCAGAGTAACTAAGAAGGGGTTCACCTAGTTGCCGATTGCTTAATTCAAATTTTGCCTTGACTCATGATATGGTAGCCAATCTTATTGATAAGTTAGCGCAAATTATTTGCTAATTTAACACTGGTTTTCATAAAATGTATTCTTGTATTAATATTGACTTATTTAAGCTTACAGATAGAAGCACAACTGGAGAAACATTTCTTTAATGATAATTTTAGCAAGCCCCGTATGTCCACCAAAGCAAACAAGCTAAACTAACCACTTCTGCTGCAGAAGACGTGTAAAGAAATCATTAAGGGAATTGACTTTCCGAGATAAAGCCTATCATTTGCAAGCCATAATCTCAGGGCTTGATAATAGGTGTGAAAACCAAGATGGTGGTGCCTCTATTTTGTTCGTGATCTCCCTTCTCTGCATATAGGTGGCTTTACCTCATCTACCCAGCTTGGTCGTGTTGGTAGATGAACTCACACTGCTCAGAACCCTTTGCCATAGGAGTCATGATATTAGCCAGCATCAGAATCGGAATGCGCCAAGTCCACGGTTCACCGTTTGAAATTATCATGACCACTATGGCAGAGGACTCCAAATAAAATACGGTCATCTGTATCGCCCCGACAACACGACCAAATTGCGAAAACTAAGTAAAATCACATATTTGATATATAACCTCTCCTTGATGAAATGTAACGATAATCCGTTTTTCCTGCCGTTAATTTGATTGCGCTATTAATTCCAAACGGTTGTTCTCACCCAGGATGGACCACAGCTCCAAACCCGGCTAGCTCTCTTCACCACTCATACGGAATGTGAGCTTAAACATTGAGGGTTGGTTTACTCGCACGTAATGAAATTAGTTATGAAAATCGGACTATCAAATAAAATTATTTTTTAGGCATATTATAAATAGAGAACCTCAAAGTCCGCGCCTAGTAAGTTGACCTCAAACACATAATCGTATCTACAAGGGTCCAGTGAAGAAACTAGTACGGCTTTTCCAAAAGGACTGCGGATTCTTAGTTGTAATACATTGTCTAGGGTGTTCTATCATTATGTTACTCTTTTATGCATGAAAAAAGTGGACAGGCTTCCCCTCGTTATAATGTTTTTTTCTTATGCAAATAATCGCATTAGCTCAATAGCACCTGGACTGCAGGCAAGACATCAAGATTCCATACTCTATCTGATATAAAACGCTCTCTTGGCGTTTACCCCGATCCTAACAACCGCCAATTACCTATTCTGTGCAGGGAAAATGGGGATCTGCATGACCTGCCTGAGTCCTTTGACGCTCGTGACCATTGGCCCAACTGTCCCACGATCAAACACATACGTGACCAATCTTCTTGTGGATCCTGCTGGGTAAGTGTCTTTAATGTCTCACGGAACTATGCATACATGACAAATAACTAATTAATTTGCTTCCCCAGATATAAATGGAAAGCTGATTTAAATAGATCTCCCAATCTCTCCCAACAAAGTCCAGTATTGAATAAAAATTGTGATGCCTCCAAAGTTTATGTAATGCTTAGCTTGAAGAGGTAAGCGTTCAAAAATTCAGGAGAAATGAGTCTTTAAAACTACGGGCCTTTGATCATGACTTTCCAATATTTACCAGGCCTGATATTTAGCGAGATGCGAGGAGGCAAGCGGGTGGAATTTTGAATTTTCTCGTCAATCTTTTTTACGTATCTTCTCTTGCTATTGTCGTAAATTTATGAAAGCATTATAAGCTCAGTGACAGCTATAATCTTGCACAAGGCAAATAGTATTCTATTGGATCTGGCACAAAACATGTTAGAAGAAATCCAAGTACGCCTAATTAGACAGTTATCTCAGTTAGGGCAACAATTTCTACCGTATAAAGAGATTTTCAGAGGATCGGTTATGTTGAAATAAGCGCACATCTACTTATAAATTTATTGCTTAATCGAACTCTTAGGCAGAGCCATTTTTTAGGGAAATAATCAAGCTATCTGCAATATTGATATTCCTGAGAGGAACGTACGGTGTACTATTCCATGATAATGTATGCAGGTGCGACTTTAGGCACACTTATAACAAGGTAACTGAACACATAGTTTTTAGAAATGTACTAAGTCAAAATAAGAAAGCGGAATTGAGATGTAAGGGTCGCGGATGGATGACACAGTGGAAAGTCTGAATTCTGAAGAAGCAGAGCCTAGTAAAGTGGTTGAAATAGGCAAGTGGAGTTTACGGGCTATACGAAACTGATCACATGTGAAAATTAACAAATACTGAAGTATCAAGAATAATGTGGCCAAATCGGTATATTAACACACCTATGTGTCCACACTCGACTTTTTCCCACAAATACTCTTACCTACACAGAAGAAAACTTAAACCAGCTGGTAAAACAGTCTTGAAAGCCTACTTATAAACTATAATTAAACAATATAAGTTGTTTGTCGTTGTTTTCGCAACTTGATCCTATTGGCAAGAAGACCTAGGGGGAAGCAAATTGTCCGGAGTCCATAGTATGCATGATCATTTCCAGAGCCTGATCGTGGACACGGACATTCTTAGACGTTGTGCCGGCATCGCCAGTGAGCCTTGTCATTCTTAGAACCACACTACAACTCGTCAAAGAGACAAGTTAGGTCGATCCTTTGACCAATTGTCTGCTAAACAGTTGTGGAATCTCTCCGACTGTCCAATGCTATTCACCTCTCTCATATCCTCTTATCAACCCTACAATACCACAATTTATTACTTGTTTATCCAAACCTATTCACACTCCCCG